GTTCTTTTCTTTTTTCTTTAGAGTAATATATTTTAGTTTATATGATTATCACTCTTAGTTTTTAGTACTAAAGTGCCTGGAGCTAATTTGTAGAAATGGGCTCCATGTGACACTACCAAAAACTAAAGGTCTATATATCTATGTATTTCATTTCATTGCCTGCAAATGACAAGTGTTTAAAATGAAATTGTTAAACAAATACAATGGAATAGAATTGTTTGCATTTATGTTGAAATAAACAGAAAAATACAAATAAAATCAACAGACAACAAAAATTGTTACAACACACAGCAGGACGTGTGTTGTGTTCCTTTTTTATGATTGTTTATCTTCTTCCTATTTTCCGTCCTTCCCACTCAACATGTGTTAAGCTTATATAGATAGATACTTAATAATGAAAAAGTATTAAAGTTTTTATGTAAATAATTTTGTTTAGATGTTTTAAGAATTTAATAAATTTTAAGGGAAATTTTATAGTTTTAAATAAATATGTTTTTAAATTTAAATAAATAATATTTTCAAATAGATTATATGTAAAATTTATTAGTTATTTTTAAAATTACTAAGCTAGAATGTAGCTTTTGTCTTTTCAAAGCTCCAAAGAATCTGTAATATACAAATGTATATGTAAATAAATTGTATCGATTGTTTTCATTACAGTTGGTTATTGCAAATATTTTGCAAACACGTAAACATCGTGTCGTTTTTGTGACGCCAACAACATCCTATGAAGTTCATTTAAGTAGAGAACAAGCCTTGCAAGGTCTTGAAATTGAGGAACCAATTGTTGCTGATGTGGTAAGTGGAAAACAAAATTTTTAACTTAAAAATAAAACTTTAATAATGTATATGAAATTTTAAACAATAATTGAGATTTTTTTTATTTTTTTATATTCTACTTAGGTGCAAAAACACGGCGAATTTATAAATTCTTGTATGTCTCGCCAATGACCAATGTCAATGCGACAGCAGCGACAACAACAACGTCATCATATACAGGCTGATTGTCGCGTGACAACGCCACATTTTTGTCGCTTATTAAATCCAGGACCAGGTATTGGACGAAGATATTAAACTGTTTAGAGAAAAAAAAACAACAAATTACTATTTACTATCATACAACAGCAACAACAATAATAAAAAATATATATCATCATTTAATTAGTACATCATACGTTGCCGACAAATTACAATTCAGGTAAAATTTTTTTTTAATTTTATTATTTCTTAATTTTGTTAGTCGCTACGTTTAGTCTGTCAGTGGTTTTTATATTTTCAATACAAAATAAGTATCAATTGTTAAATTACAAAAGAAGAAGCTAAAAAAGGGTCGTCTATTTTTAAGTCTTAGCTGGTGTTATAAAAACTTAATACTATAACTCTGTAATGTTTTTCTGTTTTATTATTATTATTATTAACAATATTATTTTATATACGTTTACGTATTTTTGTTCTTTTGTTGTTCTTATTTTAATATATTTATTACAATTTTACGTGTTAAGGGGTAAAATAAAATTGTGAAACAATGCAAAAAGGGAAGGAAGTAAGAGTTTATTGAAATAAGCATTTAGTTTAGTCTACGTACTTTATAAATATAAAAAAATAATATATATTATTTTTCTAAGTAACCTTTCCCTTTTTTTACTACTGCTACTTATTGCTACTACTGTTTAGAAATAATAATAATAACAATAAATTTAGCACAGTGGGTTATTGTTTTGTAAAGGTTATATTTGATATTTATTATTAGATTTTGTATCGGTCTAGAAAATTAACATAAAGTTGTTAATTAAAACAATTCAGTTCTAATATTAAATCATAGTTATTTATTAAATTGTATTTTAAGCAAGTTGAAGGAGTGGTTCCAAATGTCTTACCATTAGTATTTTAGTTCCGAATGCCTTAAGGTTTCCATTTATAAAAAACTGTTTTATAACGAAAATGTAGATCAAATTCTGAAGTTCAGTAAATAAACATGATATCCCATAAGTAATTAGTCTCCAATTCACGTAATGTCAAGAAACAATTCTTTAAATTAGTTAAGCGTGAGCGGGTTTTAAGCCGGGATTAAGATATAGAGATTAATGCGAGAACTTGCTTGCAAAGGCTTAACTACATGATTAAGTTTTCCAAAGTTGCTAAAACAATGCGTTGTTCACAAAATATCTAATCTAAGGTTTCTTTACCGGGGAGAATACTATGCTCCTGCTTAGAAGGTTTGGTCCAATTACTGCTATTTAATAAAATAAGCTTTTTGAGTATATTATGGCTTTAATTGAACCTAATCCGGCTGTCTTCGCAGCAGAATATCCCGGCAGAGTAATTTTAGGATTTTACCTCCGAAATGACTCGGAGAATATTAGTCTCAACATTGTGGTTTATTTTATATAGTACAAAAAAGTATAAATGGGTCATATAACATAATGATTACTTAGTGCACATTATATACATTTTTTGATAACCTATATGACGCGGTGGACTATCCTACAAAAACCGAAGAATACCCAAGTTAATATCTTCTATTTCAGTCTATAAAGAGACGGAAATCAGGGATATCTAAAGGTTACCATTGGACGAAATGACGATTACGACAGATGTACATGATCAGCCACGGCATTATCTACAGCACGCATCAGTTTGTGTATCGCATGTGCGAAAGAAACTTTTTTTTCGTAAAATCCACAGTTTGGGTAACTCTGCAGTCACTTTGGAAGTAGTTATTTCGAAAGGATGAGGTATATTACATCAGATCCGAAAAAACAGACTTAGGCCACATTAGTTTGAACAGTTCTGGTGATGTTTGCCAAATAGACCGTGTGAAGTTTGGGGTATTGCTAATAGATCCGTCATTAAGATTCTTAAGAAACTTTGTGCTATCATCGGTATAAATTTTGTTGCGAGGTTTATGGAATTTGCAAAGAGAGAACTTTAATGAAAAAAATTACAAAACTCAAGAGCCCCCAAATCATATTGGTTCGGTATCCGCCGTGAAGTTGCCTGCCATCGGCGTGGATTCTATATGATTTTACTTCGTATTTAGTACGGAAGTCAATGACATCGCAAAGAGATACTTTGCATGGAAAGCAAAGAATATGACAAAGAAAAGTGGCGTTCCCACGACAATTGGATCTTCGCTCCTGAACGACCGGAGTCATACTCGGCCAAATATCGTCAACCCAGCGACAGCTGTATCAACCGAAAGTTTTTTCCCCAGAAAAGAACTATCGGCCACAGTCGAACTGTTACAACAACAAAGGAAAGTGTCTGAAAAGCTTCAAACCGTTCCTCCGCATAGTTAGGACATTAAACACCTCACATGTAAAGACCCACAGTTTCTACAGTTCCATAACCCAAAAACGAACTCAAGTTAGGGACAATCTACTAATTCTCACAACATTTGTTGATGAACCCCTAATTCCTAACCTAAGTCCACACACTAACGCGGCATATAATATTCGTAATCAAATACCGATGGCTTTGTAGGTAATTTTATCAACTCAATGATTAAAAAGTCCTAAAGATGATGAGAGAGACGATGTTTTTTGGATGAATTTGGTCTCTTTTAGATCTGCACTGTTCTTCATATAGAAGTTAAAGATCATAACTCCCACTGAGACTATGCGAGATCCGGACAAGCTATTGTATGTTTATCTGAAACTAAACTTGTTGTAGTGTTATGTTTCTAAAGAAGCGGTACCGAATATAACTGAAAAATGTGTACAATAAAAGCAGAATAACTCAAACTCAACTAGTTCCACAGAAGCCTCTTTCATGATCTAAACAGTTTCAAATATGTGTTACTAATGGATGCAATGACCCAATCTAACCTATTTATAACAACATTAATTAGATTAAATAATTGTTTTTATTAGACGGCTTTGATGAGACCTTATGAATACATATATCCTGTATTTCTTTTTATACACTAACTTAAAACCCTATCAAAATATCTCTTCTAAATGAGGCTAAAAAAATTTGTTAAAAAAAAACAAATTAAAAATTGACATATCTTTTATTGTTCCTTAATAAAGAACATTTCAGTTCGAAAAGAAACCTATAAGCCCCTTAATAGATATCATATCTTAGAACTACTAAAAGTAGTAATTATATTAAATTAAAATATTTTCTAAACAACTAACTAACTAAACCCACTGTGCTATTAAAATTTTATTAACAAACAAACATACATATAAACTTTCCAATTTATGTACTAAATATTTCTTAAGAACCCCTTAATATAATTCTTAAACAACCAAAACTTAAAAATGATGATAAATAAAAACTCCACCAAAAAAATATAAAAAAACATTAATTATTTTTATATAAATATTTTTCTTTTCAAAAGAAATTTACACAAAGTGAGTATCACGAACAAGAGAATGTAAACATAGCTCCTTAACATCGTCATTATTTTCATTTTCTTCTTAAACGTTTAACATTTTCATTATGCTAATTACTTTTAATTTTCTTTTTTAGATATTTTTTTTCTTGGTTACTTATTTTACTATGTTTTACTTCATACTTTTAAGCTTTAACTTTTTTTTTGTATCTTCTCTAGCTGTTTAGTTGTTATAAATTTTTGTCCCAGCTGATTTATATGCTTACTTCATTATATTTTTATTAATTTTACTACAATTATTATTTTTTTCTTCTCTGAACAATAATAGTTAAACTATTTTCCCAATTGATTTTTAAATCAATTTGCGTGTTTCAAAGTCATTATCATTATTGTTATTGTTACTTTACTTTCATATTCTGGCGCTATTCTATGGTGTCCTCTTTATTCAAGTCAAGTTGGTAGTGAAGTGTGTCAAGAGCATACACATACAAATATGGCCACATCGATATTGAACATGTTTTTGTTAAGAGAAATGCATTATGGGTGTTGGTGAGGTGAATTGGTAGTTTGTGCCAAAACTTTGTCCATCAAATATTGGACAAAAACTAATAGAGACTAATATTCGACAATTTGCCATAATTTTGCCACAATTTCACTACATTTCTTTGGCCTTTGTCTCAAATTTTCTATAGAAAATTATATAGACTTTGTATCAACTTTTCTCTAGAAAATTATTTAGATTTTGTCTCAAATTTTCCATAGAAAGTTGTCTGAATTTCTCACAAACTTTCTATAGAAAATTGTCGAAAATTTGTCACAAATTTTCTATAGAAAGTTGCCTGAATTTGTCACAAATTTTCTATAGAAAATTGCCTGAATTTGACACAAATTTTCTATAGAAAATTGTCGAACATATGTCACAAATTTTCTATAGAAAATTGTCTAATATTTGTCACAAATTTTCTATAGAAAATTGTTGAACATTTGTCACAAATTTTATATAGAAAATTGTCGAAAATTTGTCACAAATTTTCTATAGAAAGTTGCCTGAATTTGTCACAAATTTTCTATAGAAAATTGCCTGAATTTGACACAAATTTTCTATAGAAAATTGTCGAACATATGTCACAAATTTTCTATAGAAAATTGTCTAATATTTGTCACAAATTTTCTATAGAAAATTGTTGAACATTTGTCACAAATTTTATATAGAAAATTGTCTAATATTTGTCACAAATTTTCTATAGAAAATTGTTGAACATTTGTCACAAATTTTATATAGAAAATTTTCGAACATTTGTCACAAATTTTCTATAGAAAATTGTCGAACATTTGTCACAAATTTTCTATAGAAAATTGTCGAACATTTGTCACAAATTTTATTTAAAAAGTTGTCTGAATTTGTCACAAATTTTCTATAGAAAATTGTCGAACATATGTCACAAATTTTCTATAGAAAATTGTTGAACATTTGTCACAAATTTTCTATAGAAAATTGTCGAACATTTGTCACAAATTTTCTATAGAAAATTGTTGAACATTTGTCACAAAATTTCTATAAAAAATATTCGAACATTTGTCACAAATTTTCTATAGAAAATTGTCGAACATTTGTCGCAAATTTTCTATAGAAAATTGCCGAACATTTGTCACAAATCTTCTATAGAAAATTGTCGAATATTTGTCACAAATTTTCTATAAAAAATGTTCGAACATTTGTTACAAATTTTCTATAGAAAATTTTCGAACATTTGTCACAAATTTTCTATAAAAAAATTTCAAACATTTGTCACAAATTTTCCATAGAAAGTTGCCTGAATTTGTCACAAATTTTCTATAGAAAATTGTAGAGACTTTGTTACAAATTTTTGATAGATAATTTTTCTGACTTTGTCCCAAAATTTCTATGGAAAATTATATCAAATTTTTTATAAAGAAAATTATTGAGACTTCACAAATTTTCTGTAGGAAATTGTTTTCTACAGAAAATTGTCTAGACTTTGTCTCAAATTTTCTATAGAAAAGTCTTAAGATTTGACTTAATTTTTCGAAGAATTTATCTAAAATTTTCTATAGAAAATTGTACAGACTTTGTCTAAAAATTTCTATGAAAAATTGTCTAGACTTTGTCCCAAATTCTCTATAAAACATGTTCTAGACTTTATAACAAATTTTCTACAGATAATTATCGATATTTTATCACAATTTTCTATAAAAAATTGTCAAAACTTTGTCACAAAATTTTTATGGAAAATTGTTAAGACTTTGTCTCAAATTTTCTATAGAAAATTGTTGAGACATTGTCACAAACATTTTATAGAAAATTCTTGAAACTTTGTCACAAATTTTCTATAGATTATAGAAATTGTCGAGAATTTCTCACTAATTTTCTATAGAAAATTATCTAAAATAAGATGGTCTAGATTTAGTAACAAATTTTAAATTGTTGAGACTTTGTCCCAAATTTTTAATAAAAATTGTTGTTGTTAAAAATTCCCATATAAAATTGTTGAAATGTTGTCAAATTGTCGAAGTTTGTGTCATATTTTTGAACACGTTTAAAAAAAGTTATTACCCTACTAAATGTTCAATGCCCTGCTAAATGCATTATTGTGGTTTTGTTTTGATTCCGTTTCCTTTACTACGTTTATTCCCTATTGATGATGACATTGTATTGTGTTTATTTTGTGTGAGTGTTTGTTTTTGTGCATTTTAATATTTTCAATCATCCATCATTATTTTTGTTGTTGTCGTTATTATGAATGCATGAGTGCTAGTATTAATGTGTCTAGAAAATGGGAGTGTGTTTAGTGTATTTAGTGGCGCTGTTCTCTATATCCCTAACAAACACATTCACTTGAATATTCTCATTTAAATAAAAACAAATGTGTTTGTTCATATATGTACAAACAAACTCACACTCAAATGTCCTTGCATTTAGTAGGTTAGGGTTTCTTTATGATGTTGTTGTGCTATCGCTGGCCTTTCTCCCTCCCCCAGGGCCCTTGTTTTTCTTACTTGTGCAATTTCAAATGGCACAATAATATTTTCAGCATTTTGTATTTAGTTTTTGCATTTTTTCCACATTTTTCTTTCCATGTACATATTTTTTAATGGTGTTGAACACTTAAAGCAGGTCACGAACTTGTAGTTATTTTGTAACAATATTTTAGCTGCTTTTTAATGTCTTTTTGCAAAAATGAAAAATACTAAAAGAAAAAAAAAACTATAAAACTAAATGAAAGTCATGTAGAAATAATATTAACAAAAATATGTACAAAAACTCAAATAGAAAGTTTGTTTTATGTTTATTTTTCTCTGGTACAAAACTAACTTTTAACATTGGAAAATATTGCAGATTTAAAGGATTTTAGATTTAAAATGAGTAAAGACATAGTATGACATAATAATTTGCATAAAGATTTTGGCAAATTTCATTTAGGAATATTTAAAATAAAGACGAAACAAACATTCTACAGAAAACAGAAGACAATCCTCTACAATTTTTTTATAGAAAAATTTCTAGAATTTGTTATAAATTTGATTTGGACATTTTTGAAGAAAATAGTAGAGTGTTTGTCTCAAATTGTCTATAGAAAATTGTTGAGATTTTGTAAAAAAATTTTCTACAGAAAATTTGAAACAAAATCTCTAATAGTTTCTGTAGTCAATTTGACACAAAGCTCTACTGTTTTCTATAGAAAATTCATGATAATTCTTTATAGAAAATTTGAGACAAAATCCCAAGAGATTCTATTGACAATTTGAGACAAAGTTCTTCTATTTTCTAAAGAAAATTCAGCAAAATATTTGAGACAATGTCTTTAAAATTTTCTATAGAAAATTTGAGACAAATTCTAGACAATTTTCTGCAGCAAATTTTAGACTTTAGGAAAAATCCGGACAATTTTCTTTAAAAAAAATGTTGAAACTACGTCAACAAAATTTTGTATAGAAAATAGTAGAACTTTGTCTCAAATTGTCAAAAGAATCTCTTGGGATTTTGTCTCAAAATTTTTTATAGAAAATTGTTGAGACTTTGTCTCAAAATTGTTGAGACTTTGTCTCAAAATTGTTGGGACTTTGTCTCAAAATTGTTGAGACTTTGTCTCAAAATTTTCTATAGAAAATTGTTGAGACTTTGTCACAAAAATTTCTATAGAAAATTGTTGAGACTTTGTCCCAAAATTTTCTATAGAAAATTGTTGAGACTTTGTCCCAAAATTTTCTATAGAAAATTGTTGAGACTTTGTCCCAAAATTTTCTATAGAAAATTGTTGAGACTTTGTCCCAAAATTTTCTATAGAAAATTGTTCAGACTTTGTCCCAAAATTTTCTATAGAAAATTGTTGAGACTTTATTCCAAATTTTTCTATAGAAAATTGTTGAAACTTTGTCACAAAATTTTCTAAAGAAAATTGTTGAGACTTTATTCCAAAATTTTCTATAGAAAATTGTTGAAACTTTGTCACAAAATTTTCTAAAGAAAATTGTTGAGACTTTGTCACAAAATTTTCTATAGAAAATTGCTGAGACTTTGTCACAAAATTTTCTATAGAAAATTGTTGAGACTTTGTCACAAAATTTTCTATAGAAAATTGTTGAGACTTTGTCACAAAATTTTCTATAGAAAATTGTTGAGACTTTGTCACAAAATTTTCTATAGAAAATTGTTGAGACTTAGTCACAAAATTTTCTATAGAAAATTGTTGAGACTTTGTCGCAAAATTTTCTATAGAAAATTGTTGAGACTTTGTCACAAAATTTTCTATAGAAAATTGTTGAGACTTTGTCTCAAAATTTGTGACAAAGTCTTGACAATTCTCTAGGGAAAATTTGAGACAAAATACAAAGAGATTCTATCCACAATTTGAGACAAAATTCTACTATTTTCTATAGAAAATTTGAGACAAAGTTCAGACAATTTTCTGTAAAAAATTTAAGGAAAAGTTTCTATTATTTTC